AAGATGGGAGTACTTAAACATATTACTATATATATTCCTGTTCGTCTTAAAAATGACCGAAGTGGGAACTCGGAACTGAATCTTAAAAAAAGATTTTATGTAATTACCAGACTCAAGTTAGATTGGATAATTATGCATATGACAAATTGTTTAACAAATTTATGTGAAGACTTCGTAATATAACAATTAAAATATACTAGGCAGGATGATAATGAAAATACGAAAGTAAATGAAAATATAAAAGCAAATGGATTCATGACCACTTATTATTTATAAATAATCAAGAGGTTTGAAGGTAATAAGACTAAGAAAATAATTTTGTTTACCTTGATTAAATAATGCCAGAAATTCTTAATTAATAAATTGCTCGCAGTAACAAGATATGAAGTAACAATATATGAATAATAACATTCAATCTTGTAGCTCCAAGATAAAGTTGTTAGGTCTACCGATTTTGTCTGTAAGCTACCGACCTACCGATTTAAACAAAAATCTAACGATATGTTCAACTGCGTCTTTAGTCTTTACAAGAGAGGCACTTTAAAAGTCTGACACATTTGGACTAAAAATTAAGAGATCATCGCGTCGTAAACGGTATAATCTGACATTCGTAAATATTATTGTTTATTAAATTTTGTTTAGAAATTATCAGTTAAGTCATAGTTCTGTCTGGTCGCAAAATTACGGAAACATTCTCAAAAATCCTTTTTATCCCTTATTATGTGCTGTATTCCGAAGTGCATTTCCGAAGATGAAATCTTTAGGAAATATTTTGTCTCATTCATTTACTAAAATTGAACCCACACAGACAAGAAGAAATTTAAAAAAAAGATCTATCGGAAATATAAACGATTAAAACAATGCATGTTTTTACTGCAAACGCGTCGTTTTCCTGTCATTATTTGATGACGTCGGTGGGTTCTAAAATCAAAGTTGACATAGACATTTCTTTAATAATAATGACATATAACAGATGCCGTTAGTATCCAGTGACGTCATAATGGTTCCCGCGCTTTTGTTTCTGTTTGAATTAGTTTGGCGAGGATTACAATATTTGGTGTATTGCTCGTTGTATTGTTTTTTTTTATACAAAAACACATAAATTAAGAAGCTTATTATCTGAAAGCAAAATAACACTGTACTCTCGACTGAACTGCTACGGACTAGGACTGATTTAAAATTGGAAGATAAAATGAATTTTAAGGCAGCTCAAAAAATATGTTCCATTGAAGTCCTTGAATTAATTAATACTGTTGCTGAGGGTGCAGGAACCAAGGAATAAATTTAAGAATGATGAACTTAGTTATATGTTCCTATTCGGAAGAAAATTTGGATTTAAAAAGAAGGTTATATAATTTATGGTATTGTTTTTTTTTACGTATTTGGCGTAAATGGCTAATGATGAATAATAAGAAAATTGGAGAACATTTTACTTCAAGTAACTGTTACACATGCATCGAGTTGAACGCTCGCGCTCTGATTTAATTAATATGCTTGATGAACATGCTCTGATTTAATTATACATTTTCGAGAAAATCTAAACCTCACAGTGGATATGTTCCTTCCTTTGCTTTTTAGCAGTCAAAGCTATGAGAAAATATTCCGAGCCACAAGGTCCATGACAAAAACGCAATCTACGGTAGTAAATTATAGTATTAAAGACATACTGCAACGATTGGACAGAATTAGATCGATCAATAATATTACCCATGATTTAAGAGCTATAATACGTTTCCCAAGAGAGCAGACAAGATTTGAAAGAGTTCGTTCTAAGGGCGAAAACGATGCACAAATTGAAGCGCAGAGTGCAAATAATGAGGTGAAAGATATTGAAAATGTATTTACTGATCAATACATCGAGAATATTGTGATGGACTCTTTGCAGGAAGCACTTGCTGTAACTGAAAAACTTGGAATGCAATCTGCAGTAAGTGATGAAAATCAATCTGTCATTGATGATTCGCAAATAGCCGAAGAAAGTATTTTTGAAAATCAAGAGGAAGAGATAGATGATTTAAGAACAGGAATCGACCAAACTAATGAGCAAACCAAACTAACCAAACCAAACTCTTTTATCGAGTCGATTTTGGATACTTCTTTCAACTTTCTGTAAAGTTTGGAACTAATTACAAATTTCGTATGCTCAATAGTATCAGGTATTCCCAAAAATATATATGGGATTTCCCAGGAGGTATTCAGGAATTCCCAGGAGGTATTCAGGAATTTCCAGGAGGTATTCAGGAATTCTTTAGCTATTAGGAGGTTTAGTGTACAGAATTTGGTTCAGCTGTTACCCCTCGCCCCCCCCCCCAAAAAATTAACAAAGGACAAAATCTGAGTTAAGAAACAAACTAAATACGGACAAGTATTTTTGTGCTTCCTCTGTCTAAAAAATATGTTAATAAAAAGAAAGTTGAGAGTTACAGCTTTCCGACTAAAATTAAATTAATTAAAGATATGAGTGAACAAAATTTGTACAAAGGTAAAAAGTGACTGATATCCCTACTTCTTAGTTTTAAAGGTTTTTATTAATATATTATTTAAGTTAATAAGATTTTTTGATATTAAATAATATCATACCTAGCTATTTCTAATTCTTGTTATATTTATTTTATTTGCGTGTTCAATTCTAGGAACACATAGGAATGGTAATTTTGTACTTAAATATTATATTTTATTTTGTTTGTGTAGTTTATTATACTTTTGATTTTGTTTGATTATTTGATGAAATATCGATATTTATTGTTAATAAAAGAAAGTCGTGTAAAATTATCTAATTATTTTATTTAATAAAACTTTTGATTTATAAATAATAGATCATGAAATAGATAAGAAATAAATATACTATCTAATAAATCTGGCAACCCTGTTCTACCACTTTTTTTCCCAAATATTTTCTTTTGTCGAAGTTCCACCGCTGACGCGAGGCCAAACGCTTGTGACCCTAAGGGTGCAGCCACACTATCCTAAAAACGGCGTATCGGCGTAACGGCGTAATGACCTTGAATAGATTTCCAGTAATTCTATTGGCTGAAACATTCATCTGTCAGAAATTTTATCTGTCAAATTCATCTGTCAAAAATTTCAGCCAATAGAATTACTGGAAATCGATTCAAGGTCATTACGCCGTTACGCCGATACGCCGTTTTTAGGATAGTGTGGCTGCACCCTGAGTGATCTTCTCACTTCTCGTGTCACTTCTTCTAATCAGTGGACGGGAAAACAGGTGTTATCTTTTTTTATCGGATTGAAAATCTCCTATTGCTAATAATAATTTATAGTCTGTTAAACGACAGGATCCCGGACAGTGAAAACAGTGTCTTCCATTTTAATTCACTGTCAAATTGTATTTTCTGTCATTCTTTGGATCTGTCGATCAGGGGCCGGAAAGTGAAATAGCAAAATTGGTTCAACCGTTTCCACGGAAATTTCAAATAAAATAGTTCCAGCCTCGGGCGCTAGGTGGTAGTGCAATTAATTATTAGGTTAAAAAGTTGCTACTAGTTATTGCCAGATGGCGTTCAATCAGATTTTTTTTGTAGTTTCCATAGTTTCCAACGGCCATTGTCATATTATTGTCAAATTCTCAAAAAATATTGTCGTTGTCACAGCGCCAATCATAATATTATCAAAAATAATTATCAAAACCATCAAAACGTTTTTCAAACTAATTTGTTATACATAGATAAATCCAACAAGTTTAGATTGCAAAACCCGTAAAAATTTTGGGTCGCGAAATTATTTTGGGTCGCGACCGTTATACGCGATCTGGCGCTGCTATAGCGGTCGCTAAGAACAACGGCAAACAAAAACAGAAATAATTTTCTCTTGTCAAAGTCAGAATCTTCAAAAATCATAATAATCTTTCAAAATCTAAACCGCTCTCATTAAAGAAATTCCGAAAAGTGTTTATAGCGTCCATTTTCAAAGTAATTATTGCTATCTTGTGAGTTTAATTCAAGTTTTATTTACTCCAACCGGTGATAATTGTGAAAAAGTGGCATTAAAAACTTAAAAAGCTGTGCTGTGAACTGTGAACTGTAAAAACCATCGTGGATCGTGGCATAACGTCGGTTTCTAATGCTTCATAGGTATTTCATACATGCGTCCTTATATAAAATAAAGTTTCTTGTATGCAACACACTGTATTTTATTTACAAAATTAAACGAAAATAATAATAACGTTGAATAAACAATATTTGGCGATATAATTCCGGAAAAAGCCGAACCGCTCCAAAATTTTCAAAAGTTTTGGGTCGCGACCGTTGCAAGAATAGCGCCAAATAGTGTTTACATTGTCCTTATGGGCACTTTCCAATCTAAACTTGTTTCATTTATCTATGTTTGTTATATGTGTTTTTATTAGACAATTCATTTTGTTTGTGGCCCTAAAAATATAATGTAAGTCATTTATTTTTGCTATCATTTAAGTACCTATTTATATTTACTCCATTTACAAAATTTTGGGCGTATTACGTTGGTCTTGTTTTATTATAATAAACGATGTGTAAATATTTGACTTATAATTAAAATCTTTAAATAATAAATAATATTTACACATGTTTGGCTTTAATTTTATTTAATAATTGTATAAATTATACTGTTAAATCTTATTTTTTACACATCACAACGATACTTGTTATTAGTATTGTTGAATTTGTGTAAAAAATAAGATTTAATAATCAAATTTAATTATATATTTTAGAGTAGAATTCAATAAATACGCTCATTTAAAAAGCCCGCGCTTCGATCCATTTAAAACAAGCCCTACTTAATAGATGGCGCCACTTCTGTAGGACCATTTTTCAGTATGGCAGAGTCCATTCTTTTTCTAGCTAGGTATCTCCTTTGCTGTCGATATCTCCCCTGATTCGTAACACTGACTATAAAGCAGATGTTAAAGAATGTGAATATGTTGTTATTTTAAAATGGTTTATTAATAAATGAAAAGCTGCAATTTATACAGTACGTCTAAATTTCAATAAAATTGTTCTTTACAGGGCGGTGAAACGGAAGCTCTGACACGACTAGAACGTCATTTAGAAAGAAAAGCATGGGTTGCTTCCTTCGGTAAACCAAAAATGACACCACAATCTCTGCTACCTTCACAAACGGGTTTATCTCCATATTTAAGATTTGGATGTTTATCTACTCGTTTATTTTATTACCATCTTACAGATCTGTATAAGAAAATTAAAAAGGTAAATATATAATCAACACTACCTAAAGGTAAGGCCGAATGGCTTAGTCGTGACGCCATCAACTGGAGGTTTTATTTTAAATCTGAGTTAGCCTGTACTAAATATAAAGCTTGTGCACGCAAAACGTCATTACAGTTTGATGACAGTTTTACGTGTACCAAGTTAGTAAATATGCAAACGTACACGTCAAATAACATTGAGGTTAGATTACTCAATGGGTAAATAATTTTCTTTGATTTTCAGTATGTTAAATAAGCCTTAAGCAATATCATTATCCAACTTGGATAAGTATTTATTTTATTTGACGATCTTTTAAGAGTTTTTTTAGGAAGGATATGATGCGCAAAATGAACAAAAGTACCTTCTTTATCAAAAGTAGCCGATCTATCGTACATTTTACTTATTATAGAGAGAAATTGGACCAAAGAAAGCACAAAATGTCAAACAGTCCTTAACAACAAAGATAAAATACAAGAAGACTAAAGTGTTCCTGGATGATATCTAATTGTCAGATTCTGACACAGATTTTCCGTTAAATATCAAAGGTGCTAGGTTTAAAAACCAATTGTCTGGTTCTGACATCGATTTAGATTTTGAAGCTGATAATAACCCAATTAATGAACTTTTAGATAGAAATCCTAAAGAATGAATACTTATTATTAAAATTTGTAACAAAAAAAAACGAATTTTACAATATGCTCGAAAAGCAATTGGCGTATAAGAAAATGGAGAATGTTATGTAACAATTTGTGGTGTGAAAGTTGCTTAAAGCCTCGGGATACCTGTGAGATCAAGAATGGCGTCCTCCATGTTCAATTTAATATTTTTTTGGCTACGATATTTAGTAAAGTTTGAAAATGACGAATTTTCCAAAATTTTCTGCCTAATAAATTTTAAAAAGGAATTTTTAAAAAGAATAATTTTGTCTGAAACTGAAAAAAAAGCCATGTTCAAAAGTGCCCCTGGTGATCATGGGTTAGTTCCGGTTACATTTGCACGAAAACATTAAATTAATAGATGGAACTATTGTAATTTTTTACAAATGTTTTTTGTCAAAAATCAATGGATATTTACCAGTTTGAAAAAAGTTGTCCGGACCGTACTCCTTTCCTCCCTATTAATTAATTTTACGAGCGATATTTTTATTAATTCCCTTTTTATATAAATGCTTCTTTATAGAATTTATTTGTCAAAGGATCGGTGATCAGTAATGGGAGGTGAATAAATATCCAATATATATAATAAAAAAAAATTGTATATACCTGGTATATATGTTAAGCCGAATTTGTGTAATTGCCGATTTCATAAATTTAGCAATTTTTTGCCGAATTCGCGAAATAGGCAGCATCGCTGCGCATTTCATGTAATAGGCAAAATAATGTCCCAATATATTAACTGGGCATATAATCTTTTGCCGATTATTTGAAATAGGCAACCAGCGCTCGATGCTCAATAACAAATGAAAATTATAAAAATTGAAGGTTATGTTCATGTTTAATTGAAATTTGATTGTTTGTATTATTTTGAGTTTTGAGCGACGTAAACTATAACAGATTTTTTACTTTATATTAATGTGTTGCGACATTAAAACATGACTGAAGCCGGTATAAATAGTAAGATGTGGAGTGAGGAATACGAAAAAAAAGTAATCCGAATTTTGCAAGGTTGTGAAAGTGTCACTAAAAACAGAGAGTACTACCATATTAAAAGTTCGTTCAAGCTAGAAAAGTTTGCTGGAATAACAAAGATATGTCGAAAAAAAGACAATAAAATAATGACTACCAAAACAAATGCATAGCAAATCATTCGAGATTTGCATACCGCTTGTGGACATAAAGGAGAGAAAAAAACCTACAAAAAAGTTGCAGAACATTATGCTAATATACCAATGGTTATAATAAAACAGTTTATTGAACAGTGCGAGAGGTGTACAGAGAAAACAAAAAAAGTATACAGTACAGGAATTGTTGTTAGACCCATAATAAATAAAGATCTTAATTCCAGAGCACAAATCGACTTAATTGATTACCAAAGTTTACCTGATGGTCAATACAAATTTATTTTGCACTATAAGGAACATTTAACAAAATATAGTATTTTAAGACCGCTAATATGTAAACGTGCTGTTGAAGTAGCCAAAGAACTTTTAAACATTTTTTTGGATTTTGGAGCTCCGACTGTTCTACAATCCGATAACGGTAAAGAGTTTACTGCAAATATAATCAAAGAGTTAGGGACTCTCTGGCCTACCTTAGTTCTTGTGAATGGGAGGCCACGGCATCCACAAAGTCAAGGAAGTGTGGAAAGAGCAAACGCTACTGTAAAAAATGCATTAGTGGCTTGGATACGTGACAATAAGACTTCTTCTTGGTCGTTGGGCCTAAAATTTGTGCAATGGGGTATTAACACAACTTATCATGATGCTATAAAAATGGAACCATACAAAGCTATGTTTGGTCAGCTACCAAAATTAGGCTTAGGTTCTAAGATACCACAAGAATTTCTTGCTGCGATATCCAACGGGATAACAGAAGAAAATATGGATGAAATATTAAAAATACCAGATAATGAGAGTTGTAAGGAGAATGACAATGGACATGAAATAATGAAAGATACAATGCCAGAAAATTTTGAAATATATAATATAGAAGAAGACTTAATCTATAAGTTACAACAGACACAACTTCTGTGCCGACTGCTGGTTTTGGTGAAATATCTAAAGAGGATACAAAAGAATTTACACCAGAAACACAGATAGAAACCGTTCAAGATGAAGAAAATACAGAAAATTATTTAACTTTGCAGGAAGTATCTACTACTGAATTTCAGTCAGAAGTTGTAGTAGAGCACATAAACAATGATAACAGCAAAAATATTGTAATTTTAAGCAATCAGGTAAGTAGGACATTATGCTATATTAAATAGTTAAATAAGTTATAATTCTTTGCAGCTCCTTGAGAATACCATAGAAAATGAGGATGAGGTGACAGTTCTACAAGAACTTATTTCAGAAAGAACATTGAACACCGATATAGCATCACCAAATCATCCTGCTATTGACTTAAGAAATCTCGCCTACAGAAATATTTTACAACAGGCTCAGAAAATGACTGATCTATCCAATAAAAAACTTGGGTCATTTAGTGTTGGAGATCACGTGCTTCTAGGTAAAACAAACGTCTTAGTAAAATTTTTTTTACTAAAATTTTCTTTTTTTGACATTTTTAGGCATTCGTGAATTTGACAGAGGAAGAGGCGATCCAGCTAACTTAATTGGTGTGGTTATAGCAGAAAAAGAAGGAAAATTTAGAATTGGTACAAAACATGGCATTGTGGATAACTGGTTAGAAAAAAATTCCCTGCAACCTACAAAATTTAAGAGATTAAAATTAAGCGACGTGCCTGATCATGAACACAATATTAGAATGTTTGTTCGTAAAAGTTCAGTGGGTTCCGGACAAGGATATAAAAGATGCAATTGCACCAAAACATGCAACTCAATGAGGTGCAAATGCCTAAAAGCTGGTTTCATGTGTAATTCAGTTTGCTATGCTGGAAGAAGTTGTACTAATACTTAATATTTAATAAACATTAGGTATTAGTACTAAATAATATTTAGATATGTAGGTACCTATATTAAATAAAAATATAGATACATAGATACATGTTTTTTATTTTAAAAAAAAGTTTAAATCTGTGACTATATTATAAAGTCAAGGATGGTCTTTGCTTACTGCTTGAAATGGACAAAGTTAAATTTAATAATTGCCTATTACATGAAATGCGCAACGATGTTGCCGATTTCGCGAATTCGGCAAAAATTTGCCGAATTCATGAAATCGGCAGTTACACAAATTCGGCGTAACATATACACATTGACGAATAGTGGTAGTGGTAGTGAGGAATACCTGGTATATATTGGTATTTAATATTCTGCCTGATAATTACAAAAAATCGATTATTCACTTAACCTAAACTGTCGGTGTAAAATTCGAGATTGGTTCGAAGAAAAAAAGACACATCACAAGTGAATTGTCTTGAAAATGTTATGAAGGGTTTAGCAAATTACCGCTCAAAGTACAAATTATGGTCCAAAAACTTCCTATGGAATGTCCAGGAATGTCCTCTACATGTCCAGTTTCTTGGTGGAAAGGACTGCGTGGAACAAAATCTTTCTCCAAAGTTGTTATAAGAATTTTAACTGCTCCAGTTTCGTCGGCGGAAACTCAAAGATCATTTAAAGAAATATCTTTTATTCATCATAAAAAAAGAAACAGATAGATAACCGAAAAAGCTGGAAAGATTATATACTTATCTCACAATAGGAAAATAAATTTTGAGTCCAATAAATCTGAACGAGAATCAGAACCAAGTACTTCATATTCTGCACAAGTATCTTATGCTGATTCTGATATTATTGACGTCGAGTATCACAGTTCCGCTTCTACTGGCACTTTAATGTCTAATAGATATGGATTGGAATTCAGATATGGACTCAGACACGAAGCTGGATGACACGAGTGAAGCTGATGGTTTCTGTTTGAAATTTCCATTACTTTCTTTGTTACAGGACGTTAAATTAACAAAATAAACATATTTGGGAGTTCCACAACCAACAACCTATATAAGGCGCTAACTGCAACGGCTATTAAATTGTATTAAGAACTTGAATTTCCAGATATCATTGCCATAACTGAGCACTGGTTGAATTTTAATGATCCTGTGTTTGTTAAAAATTATACCACAGTAGCCAGATTTAATAGAACAAATTTTTCTCATGGAGGTACTATGATAATGTCTTTAAACAACGACTTTTCCGAGGTAACTAGGTACAATGATTTGTTATCTGAAAAAGTATTCGAATTTTCCATTGTCCACCATAATGCTTATGACCTTTACATTATTTGTATTTATAGAACACCTGACTCTGACGTGCAATTATTCTGTCATAATGCTTGAGTCCCTGCCCTTGAAAAGCAAACTAATTTTGTGTGGTGATC